AGACCGAGCAGGGGATCAAAGCTGATCCCGTCTGGAATTTCCTTTGGCTGGAAGACAGAGAAAGTAAAAATGGCAACAACAGAGAAGTAAAACTGGAGGAACTGCTGACAGCGTGGATTAGCAAAGCAGGTTCTCGTGCCTCCAGCCATCACATAAAATGTGGGAATCCAGTGGGTGCAGGTTGTTCTGTACGGGCGAGAAAAGCTGCACCGGCCAAAAATCTCTCTCCTACATTCATAAAAGTGCAGGAGCCTCATGCTCCTTTCTGGAGTAGGCCAAGTAGGTTCCCAGAGGGACAAAGACGCTGCCCCTAGGCGGTGTGGTATAGTGGTTAGAGCACTGGACGAGGACTTGCTATGATGGAGCACACCGTATGACAGGGCCAGTCATGGTTGCTCAGCCTAACCTACCTCAAAGGGTTGTTGTGAGGATGAAGTGGGGAAAGCCACCTTGTATTTGTGGTAGTGGGGAAAGGGGGATATAAATGTGTGGCAACCATAATAACGGAACATCATTCCACAAGTGGTCATAGGATGCACTTTGGAATCAAAATCGCCTTCCTCGGGAGCTTGAAATCATGTCTAGCACAAAAGAGCAACATTTTTCCTTCTTTCTCTTCCCGTTTGCAAACTCCTCTGCACGAAGAGGCCCAGACAGTGCAAGCCTAGAGACGGCTACTTAAATCTGAGCCCAATTCACTTCAGTGAGTCTTGCAGGTGAGGCGACTCCATGCATACTAGGGAGAAAGCGCCACGAAACTTTGCAAAACTAGGTTAGCATCCATGTGGGACCAGGCTGTGAAAGCAGCACTTTGCCTCATGCAACTTGCGAGCAGGACACTGTTTCCTCGTACTTACTGGTCTAAAGTTCGCCTGGTTTGTGAACAGTCACACATGGAAATCAGAAGCGGTGGTGCTGATGAGAGATAATTAATGCAGTTCTGGGGTGATTTGTGAAACAGGTTGAGGGCCTTCTCCTCCTGGCAGGGCGGAGGCCACAGGCAAGGCGGAAGTTCTGGAGAGCCGCTGTATGCCGACAGGCCAGGGCCCAAGCCAGGACCAGGTAGCTTTTTGCTTTCCGTTAATTTCTGTGGTTCCAGTGCAAACTCAGGCAGGTGAGTGAAAAATACTTCCATTCATGACTTGCTTAATTCATGGCGAAAGCAGCCCTGTGGCGCCTGGATGGCATCCGAAAGGCCGCTGGATTGTTCAGACCTCCAGCACCGAGGTTGGAGACTGTGCTCTGACTTGGAGCTGGGGCTTGGCGCTCGGCCCCGATTCCCCGCCCCTTGCAGCCGCACAGAAAGACCTGTGCCAGGCTGTCTCCAAGGCTGGCAAAGCAACTCCAGAAAGGCGGAAAGGGGGAAGTTGAGGTGCAAAGGGGAAGGGTGGGGGGCCTGCAGCTTTGAAGCCCCTTCCGTCTCCTTCCCTCCCTCTCCAAAATGTTCCGACTCAATGGTGGAAAAGCCTCTCTAGCAAAAATGCAGAGCCAGTGGATTCCTCCTCATGGATCGCACCCTGAATGAGCAAGGGAAGGCAAGGTACTTGCGCACCTCCACAGCCCTGTGACTGCCGATACGACTACAATTAAGTCTTCACTACCAGGCAAGCTTTCTGGCATGTACATGGCAGTGTGCAGGTCCAAGAACATTCATTTGGAATACACAAAATTATTAAATGAACATGTCCTTTCTCTCTCCCTTCCCTGCTATCCAATTTCTCCCCTAGCTCAGCAGTTTGGTTCAAATGACCAGATCTGAACTTGTTTGAAGAATACGCGCTTGTCTGTTCTGAAATAACCAGCTACTTTAGGTGACCCCAAAACCTGGTATGAAACAAAGCACCGTTGGAGCTAAGAGAGTTCGGGAGGAGGTGGGGTGAACCCAGGCGCCCTGGGCTGAATGGAATGTGCCTCAGTAACTAGAATGGGCATTTGGTGCCTGCTTGGGCTAATGGGAATTGTGGTCCAACGCATCCGGCGTCCAGCAGGTTAGGGAATGCCACCCAGGGTAAGAGTTGCCTTGCTCCATCAGACCCATCCAACATTCCCCCGCAATCAGGTGACCTTCCCTTTGAAAAGAAATATTCTGTCTAGCTCGAATGCCTGCTGGCCAAATTGGTCAATAATTAAGCTAGTGAGCGTCTCTACATGGTGTTAGCAAGACCTCCAACCCATTACCAGAGAGCGTAAAAATGTGGCATGAGGTTGGTTGCATGAAACTTGCATTTCTGTGCACATTTCAAAATAATTACACATACTCCTTAATGATCATTTGAATCATCACTCCATTACTATTCCATACAAAAGTGTGTAAGAAGGTGTGGAACAGATGTGTACATAAATGCATCTTTTATATAGCACCTTTCCCATGTGGTATTTTACATAATATGGCAAAATTGAACAGTTGCTAAATGCATTGCATAGAAATTACAGTACAGTGTTAATGATACAAATGCCATTCAATATGGAAGCAAAAGATAAGTTTGTCCTGTCTCGTTGACTTTTACAGTTGTTTTTGAGTGCCAATAAATACTCGTATGTGGACTGGGTGATCTGGTAAACATTCTTTATTTGGATTCCAAAAGGCTTTTGACAAAGTCCCTCATCAAAGAGTTCTGAGCAAACTTAGCAGACCTGGAATAAGAGACGAGGTCATTTTATGAATCAGTAACTGGTTAAAAAACAGAACACACAGAGTGGGAATAAATGGTTGATTCTCACAAAGGAGCTAGGATCCTAAAAGGATCTGTTTAGGGCAGGTGTTTTTTAGCTTGTTAATAAGTGCTTTGATTTGCTGATGATATCAAGTTGTTTAGGATGATTAAAACAAAAAGGAATTGTTGTAATTGTGAAGCTCTCCAAACAAATCACCCCAAAATGCTGAATGGGCATTAAAATGGCAAATGCCAGTTCGTATAAGCATGCATCAGGGAGACCAACCGGGACAAAAACTCTTGGATTCAAGTGTACACATCTATAAAAAACAATGGTGCAGTGGACCGACATGAGAATACTGGGTGCTGTTCTGGTCCCTGCCCCTAAAGGAAGATATTGCAGTTAGGAAACAATACACATTGCTAAAGCCGGGGGGGGGGGGGGGATTAAGCATAGGGATGGATGAATTTCACTGGGGCCACAGCATGTGCGGGGGGAGGTTTAACCTATGCCCCCTGTAGCCCCAGTGAAAATCAGGCCCATGTGTTTATTAGGCCTAAAAAGCAAGCTCCCATTAGCACCCACTGGGTTTTATTTCTGGGCTAATACCAGGTTTGAGGGAAGGCTCTTAGGCTGCAAAAACTGGCTTCCCATTTCTTTGACTTTCTATTGTAAGGCTTACTAAAGTCCTAATTGGGGGGGGGGGGGCACAACACACTTTTCCTTTTGCTTGTGTTATTTTGAGATTCTTAAAGGTATCCCTCCACAACCCCGACCCAAGGTTGGCACCTTCAGGGATACGCCATCCAGTTTCTTAGATCTTGCAAACAGGTAAACAGATCCTTCAAGTCTATACCTTATGAGTATTTTTAAAAGTCAGTTGTCTTTCATACATTACATTTTGTAGAGTTCAATTATAATGTTATATGTAGACCTTAAGAAACCACCATTTTTGCATGTGGAGTTTGGCAGAGGGTCCTTCTTTAGCAATGTACACACCCAAAGACATACATTAGACTTAAGAATTAGACTGTCCTTTTAGCTTCCCGTAAGACTTAGGGAAGCTAAAAGGGCAGGGTCTTTTCAGTGGTGACCCCACATCTTTGGAGCCACCACTAAAAATATCACTGAATAATAATATTTTATTATTTCCCTCAGCCTTTTATCAGGTTTCCCTTGTTTGATGTCTTACTTGGCTAACTGGTTTTAATGTTTGATGTTTTTGCTCTATCTGAGAAAGAGATTATTTGGTACACGTTGACATGCTGTGAGCTGTTCTGTAACAGTTTGTCCCTAAAGATGAGACTTAAATACTGCAAATTAATAAACAACAACTAAAGTACAGCCACAACCGCAAAAGTGGCACACCCTCTTGTCAGCATCACTTGCACAAAACCAAGAGAGCAGGGAGAAACAGCGCCCTGCCCTGCAACCTGTTTACCATTGCAAACCCGCTCTCCCTTTCCCGTTTTTGAGGGGCAGCCACGTTTACAGCCCATTAGCTCGAATTGACAACTCCGTTGACAGCGCCGATTTCTTATTGTTCCGCAAGCAGAGAAAGTTATGCAATGGCTAGCGCCTCATGTAAACACTCCAGAAAGAGCCCAAGAGGCGCTCCTCCCGTCCTTGGCTTTCCGAGAACTCCTCGGGAAGCCCGCGAGGCGAGGGGACATCCCGATCCCTTCTGCCCGCCTGGCCCTTTGCGCCTGCATCCCAGACGTGCTGCCTCCATTAACGCCGAGGGGCGACGGGGGAGAAGGGCCCCCTTGCAACGGGTGGGGAGACGCGGCTCCGCCAGCGAGCGCAAGCGGCCGCCTGCCCAGCCCACTTTCCTTGCCCTGCACCTTCCGCGCTCGGCTCGGCTCGGCTCGGCACGGCCGGCTGCAAGGCGAGCCGCGCGTTCCCCGCCGGAGCAACAAAGCGGGCGGGCACCCGGCGCCCCCGCGGCGCCCCCAGCCGCGCCGGCTCCGGAGGAGGCCGCGCCGAGCCCACGGCGGCCTCCTGCCCGGCAAGTGCGGCCCCGATCCCGGGCCGGAGGCGCGCGAAAAGCCTCCCGGGCCAGCGCGCCTCGCAACGGGGGCGCTCCTGCGGGAGGCGCGCCTCCGGCCCGGCCCCGCCTCCCGGCCCCCCCTCCCTTCCTGCCTCCGCCGCCCAATGGCCGGGAGCCATGCGCCCCCACATCAGCTGATCATGCGGCGCGCACGTCTGGCAGGGGCCAATCAGCGAGCCGCGCCTGGCACGGGGCAACCCTTAAAGAGGGAGCGCGCGGCCGGCGGCTCCAGAGCGGAGCATGGTCCATCCCCGCTGAGGTGCTCCGGCCAACCCTCCCGGCGCTGCCCGCCCGCCCTCCTCTCCGCGCCGCCGCCGCCGCAGCAGCAGCAGCGAGGTAAGGGCCGCCAGGCGCGCAGGGCGAGGGGCGTGCCCGGAGCGGGGCCAACGCGGGGAAGTCAGTCTCCCGGCGGGGCGGGGCCTGCGGCGGATTTCTGGCGAGGAGGCGCCGCGCCGCGTGCTGCGGGGCCTGGGCGGGCGAGGGGGTTGCGCCGGTCTGGGGGGGGGGGGCGCTTGAGGGTGGCTCGGGCGCCGCCGCCGGCTGATAGGATGCTGCTACGAGGATGCTGCTCGGGGGCTGGCGGGAGGAGGCGCCGCGGGAGTTCCCGCCTCGGCGTGGAGACAAAAGCGACCCGAGCTGCGCGCTGGGGGCGCGGACTCTCGCCCCCCCCCCCCCCCCCGGGGGGGGGGGGGGTTCTTTTCGTTGGCTGCGGGTGTTGGAAGGGTTTAACCCCTTCTGCCCTCTTCTCTGCTTAAAAAGCCTCAGCAGACCCTTCCCGAATGTTAATTTCCCGTCAACCTGGATTGCATCGGTAACGGGGACTTGGCCTTTATGCCTGGGCAGACAATGGGAACTGTGCAGGCATCAGAAGTTTCCTCTGTCCAGATCGCCCCCCCGAGACGCAGATAGCAGGTTTTCTGAGCCTTCGTCTGTCTGGCTGCCTTGTAATCTGGGAACAAAATGAAATTCTTCTTGCAGCTCCTGAGTAAATGGAGGAGGGGCGGGGCGTTGTTAGATAATAATGGGGCTGCATAGAATTACTCCTGTCCTTTGCCTTTCTGCTCCTGAAGGCATCGAAATCGCCAATCGGGTTGCTTTTCAGAGCAGCAGGACTTAAAAACAAGCGTACAGGTGTGTGTGTGTGTGTGTGTTTGGGCGGGGGGGGGCACAGCGGGTTGTGGGTGATGAGATGCGTCTCCTTCCCAATGGTTCTAGGGTGAGATTTTTACAAGGAGGGGAGTGGACAGAGATCACATTTCATTGCTCACGAAAAAGAAAAGAAAAAAGGGTATCTCTTTCTCTCAGTGCTAGCAGCAGGAGTGAAATGACTACTCGGCAACCCGTTTGGATTGTCTTTGTGGGTTTGGGTCTGACCAGGTGCCACTGGGAGCATGGGAGTTTGCACCGCTGCATTCTTAAATGTGTGGATAGCCACGTTGCTCCATTAAAAAATGCGCAATCCCATATCGATATCCTGCTAAAGTGGCACAGGGCAGTGGGAGCATAATATATTTTCAGCCAGTCTTCCCCAGCTTGGCATTGGACTGCAACTCCCATCATTCCAAGTCTGCCTGGCCACTGGAGAGGGCTGACTTAAGAATATGCTGAACATGTTAAGTGTGGCTTGACCACCGGTTGTGCCAGGGATGTAGGTTCATTGAGAAGCCGTGATCGGTGGCTGTACAGGTGGCTCGGATTTGCTCTGGTGCACTTACGAGGTGGTGCATAAGATGGGGAGGAACCAAATCATTCAAGAAAGGATCTGAACAGTTCAAACGGTCATGGCAACCAAGGATGAGAAATGGGAAAGAGCAGGGCATGGATGAGTAAGTTAGAGCAGTGTATGAATCAGCAAATGCCTTCCTCAGCTGGACCAGGCAATTCTTGGCAGACCAACTTTGAGCTGGTGTGTTTACAGTAAAAGTGGGGAGTCCTAGATTTGAGTTTCATCAGTTCCTGGAGATGAGATGGGAGGACAATCCTGACTTCAGTGGAAGGGAGAAAATTGCTTGCACGCTTCCAGTTTGGTGTTTACAGCTAACAAGCAAATGTTAGCTGTATTGATCCCAGTGAGTAAAATTACAGATAGAAGGACAATTTTCATGCCAGCCACGAGCTGAAAAAATTCACTTGTGCTTGATACAAGGAGGTAGACAGTAGAAGCAGATCTAGTTCATTTAATGATTAGACAGTGTACACCAAGCTTTTTATGTGCGTCCAGAGGATCAATTATTGAATTCTATTAGTGGAAGAATGTGCAGGTATGTCTGCTACACAGAATTCTTTCTACCTGGCAAAACTTCACCATTACTTAATGGCTTGCATAGTCTAGTGTCATCACAAAAGGGCTGTTGTCCACAAAAGCTTGTGCTGTAGTACATTTGTTGGTGCTACAGGGCTCTGTTACTGATTTTCAAGATAGCCACAAGGGGGAAGCCAGATGAATGAAGATGGGAAAAGGGAATACAGAACTCTTCAATGAAAGCATCTAAGAAAGCATTTAAAATGTCATATTCCCCCTGTTTGATACACACTAGACCTTGCAGGGCTGCTAAAATACATGAACTGAAATCTAATTTTCTATATTGAGGGTATCATTTCCAGTGTCTCATGTTCATTTTTAAGCATCCTGAAAGACAGAATATGTGTCCCTTCTAGATCCAGAATTGTTAGAGAAGGAGGGCAGTCCTGTCCAGGCTGAATCAACAATCCACATCCTTCATAAAGCGAGTTGTGCTCTTTTGACTAGACTGGGGTGTTTGTAGTTTGAAGTATCTGAACCCTTAGCCATTCTGTTTGGCTTCATGCTTTTTTCTTGATGGCTATGGCAAGCGCTCATGATTACAGAATATTTTATAACATCATGTGAGGAAAATAGCACCCTCTTGACTAGAGTGCTGGCCTTTTCTCCCACCTGTATCTTCCAGTGTAAATACAGTACAATGGGGAATATACATGCATGCAAAAGTTTCATAGTGCTCTTGACCCTTTCCGAAATCAGCTACTTTATACAATAGATATCCATTTCATGCACTCAAGTATATCATGTTATAGGTATGGGAACAACACATTCTTGGATGGGATTCTCAGTGCTAAAAATAGTGCAAGTTTACAAGAAGTTAGTACAGAGCTGGATTTGATTTTAACATGCCCAATAGAGTTGGATCATCTGGACTGTATGGGAATCTCAAGAATGAGAGGAATCTGGGGTGCTGAGCCGATGAGGGCTCTGGCTTCTACAGGCTGAACGATTCTGGACAAGATTCATGGACGGACAATTGCATGTTCACCAATCCTGCCTTTGCTGTTACGGGTACGGTGTGCCCTCTCCCCTCATCTGGGTTTTTTCTTTTACCTATAAGAATTGGTATACAGCGTCCCAGGGAATCTGAAAAACCTATGGATCCTTGAGACTATCCTAATATATTTTACTAATTATTTGCAGTGACACGTTGTGGTTTCCCCGGCATGCTTCCAAGTGGTAGTAAAGTACCCTCCACCATGTCTGTGGTACATGCAGGGTGGGCCTTGTGTTTCCCAAAGACCATTGTAGGTTCTCCTCGTGCACCATCTCTGCAGGGACTCCTCATCGGGGAGAGCCGGGCCACCTGTCAGCACTAAGGGGCACCGTCTGCCCTTAGGATTGCACCCAAGGACAGCCCCTGCCTGCCCTCCCCTCCTCCTCTTGACTGAAGGCTTTTCACCTGGGTAGGAGGAAGTCGAGGTGTGTTGGGGTCTGGCCAGTCTTCAAGGGCAGGCTGATGTGGCATCTGCCAGAAGTCCACACCCCAGGAGGGCCTCCCGGAAAGCGCCCCCTGAGGTTGCCACTCCACTTCCCCACTGCATTCCCCGTCGCCGTTTTGCCCGAGGCCTGCAGAAACCTGCTGGTGAGGGTGATGCCTGTCACGATCTAAGCCACTAAGAATGAGGCCTGCATCTTCACGGAGCACACCTGGGTCATGTTAGAGGTGGAGTGAGATGCTTGGAATGGGCAGTTGTTGGGAAGAGTGGAAAACTTCCACAGCCTGGGATCAGTGCCTCGTTTGATGTGAGCGTAAAAGCAGTGATGATCCAGTTCTTTGCTAGAGTTTCCACCCTCCGGAAGCCTTTCCAGTGGAGGACCACAAAACCACAGTCTCCTATCTCCTTAGAAGGCAGATAAACTCTTCCTGTTTAGGCATGCTTTGAAACTGTGAGATGCTTTGCTTTCTTGTAACCTTTAATTTTCTGTTGGAAAAAGACTTTTGTCTTGATTTTCTAATGTTTCACTGCATGGCTTTTATGGATTTTTTACTTTGGGCAGGTCTCTAGCAAGAAAGTTGATAGCTTCTCAAATATTTTCTCCGCCTGACCCCCTGCATTCTTTTCCTTATGGCTTTTGCAATTTGGTTTGTTATGCGTTTGTTGTCGTAGCAGCTGCCTTCAGTTAAGTTGCGATACTTTTTGCAAGCATAGCAGGCCTCAGGCCCACTGATGTATGTCCAAAACAACCAAGTTGCCCTACTAAAAACGGCAACCGTCCCCGACAAAAAAGGGGAAAAGTGTCAGCGAAGGGGGAGGCTGGGATGATCTGCAGTGTCAGAATTGCACTGAAATGCTGACGGCCCATTTCTGTACCGCCCGAGTACAGAAATGGGTGTTGGCAATGGTCAATATTGGAAATGCCAATAAAGAAAGACTGAAACTCCTTTGCATAGCACATGCCAGGATGGGATCCAGACAAAATGCCCAGCTCCTTATCTTTTGCAGTCACAGTAGCCTTCCAGATGTTCTGGACTACATCTCCCATCAGCACTGCCAGTAAGACCATAAGTAAGGGATGGTGGGAGGTGGAGGCCAGAAGATCTGGGAGCCAGCAGGTTGGTCAAGACGGTTTCACAGCCTCGTTGCTCAGCTTTCAGCTATGCGTCTTGCCCTGCCAGATAGTAATTTGACGCTAATTGAGAAAGTAAACACATGTACAGTGTCCATCAAAGGTATCGCTTTCATATTGCAGGAAGGCGATCAGGCAATAGGCATGGAGCTTGAGTGTTCCAGCACCAAAGCATGGCCCTTCTTGTAGCCCAGCTGCCTCTTGAGGGCATGAGTTTCAGCTAGCGGAAAAGCTGGCACTCTTCGGCGGCTTCCTATAAAAGCGTGATGACCAGTAGGAGCAGTGCACTTTGCCCCTGGGCCTTATCAGGTGCGGAAAGTTTTGTGGTCAACCAGGCCAGGAATCGTCCTAGCAGAGCATCCTCACGCGACTGTTGGAACGAATGCCTTTGGCAACTCATGGGCTTCCTTCCCCATTCTTGCTCTTCACCTTGCAGGATCCCCATCACACCTTCTGCAGCCATGGCCACCTCGGCAAGTTCCCACCTGAGCAAAGCCATAAAGCACATGTACATGAAGCTGCCTCAGGGCGACAAGGTGCAGGCCATGTACATCTGGATTGACGGGACCGGCGAGTTCTTGCGCTGCAAAACCCGGACACTGGAACGGGAGCCCAAGAACATTGAAGGTAAGTGGCTGACCGAAGATGGCAAGCAAGGCCACACGTGAACCTGCGATGCAAACTTTTGGTGCTCGTTTTTTTCTATTCTTGCTGCAAGCCATTTAGAGAGCCTTCGGCAAAGGAAATAGATAAAAACTTTCATAATGTAAATGCAGGCCTCCGTTCTGGTTTGGTGATCTTCCTCTCCCTGTTTTCTGGCCAGCTGCCACCATTCCTGGGACGAAGGACCAAGCAGCTCCCTTGCGCTCCCCCTGCCCCCATTGGGTAGAAGACACTGAAAATCAGAATTGTTTTGATAAGGCATCACAGGTTTTCCCGTGGTTGAAAACCAGCTGTTCATATGAGAGCATCCGATTTTTCAGCCTTGGTCTGTGATCCTATCCATATTTACCTGGGAATCAGTGCATTTGACATAGGGGGACTTCTAGGTAAAACATATCCAGCATTGCCCTGCCTGCCAGAAAAAAAGGCAATGCAATTAATGCTGAAAAGTTTTGTCTGCCAACTTTGTCAGCTCCGTTTTCTGCCAAGCTCCTTGGGTAAACAGCACTGAGGGAGAAAAAATACAATCTTTAGGTGGTCCAAAGAAGGGAAGGACATTTTTAATATTGTTCCTTTTCATTTCCCGGAACAGGAATAGGTTTGAGCCAAAAGGGCTTCGGAGAAAGTGATCTTGGCTCCTCTGATTAAAATGTGTGTCCTTGAATTACTCAGAGCTTTAGAGAGAGAAATCACCAATATGTACTGGAGTTCTGCACATGTTTACTTGGGTGCAGTGGAACATGTAAGCATAGGGCCGTGTCTACAATCCTAAACCCACTTTCTTGGAAGGAAGCCTCAGTGAAACCAGAGGGATTTACTTCATAGTAGACATATGTAGTACTTGTATTACTTTTGTTTCGTTTCTGTCAAGTTTTATAACACTGTATGGATCTGAAATCAGTTTTTAGATGAAAATCCCCACTGCAAATCAATATGCTCACGTGGGTTTTAGTACATGTGAACAGCCTCAGTGCTCTGAGCTCCCAGCGAGATGTAGCATCTCGCCTCAGGCTTCCCCTTGGACTCTGTGCACACCGTGGGCGACTTGCGCTGCTCCTCCTTTGCGGTGACTCCAGCCCCCTTCCCCAGGCGCGCTCCCCTGCTGCTCAGCCTCCTGCTTTCAGGCATTTGGCCTCCAAGCTCCCTGCCCTCTTTGCATTCCCCCATTCACTGAAACCAGTGAAAAAGCAGCAGCTGCCTCCTTTCAACTCAGTTTTTTTTTTTTTCCGGGCCTGTCCAGGCATTTTGCCACAGGGAGCCCAGCAGAAACCCTGCCAGCCTAGTACCAGAGCTGGTTAAGTTGTGGGGCACAAATCCTACAAGTTCCTCTTTCCGCACCTCCCTCCCTGAAGGTGGAAACACTGCAGACACGATGCGATTGTCCGCTTGCTGGTCTTCCCTGGCCCGCCAGCCGGCTGAGAATAGGAGGGAGAGAAAGAGCTGATAGTGACTGCATGTCATAGGAAGAAGGTGGCGGGGGGCAGGTCCTTTCATCCAAAGGGTGGGTAAAAATGCTTTTACTAAAGATTTGGCAGCCCTGTTTCAGTTACTGGGCAAAATGAGGCTGTGTATGTTTGTGTTATATATAACTTTCTGCGATGGGCATGGAGCTGCCTTCCCAAAATAACCCAGATCTTGCATGAGTTTCCAGCGATGCTACTTGTTGGCTCCCTCCGAGATACCACGAGCCATTCTTGATGTCGGGTAGGAAAGGAAGGGGGGAAGAACATCCCTCCAGAGTTCAATGTATATGATGAGTTGGCCTTTTGTTTGTCTCGGAACAAAACAGCCACGCTAACATAACAAGTAGCATTCGGATGTCTTCGCTGGTTGCCATGGAGCTGGCCAGAGATGGTTATGAAACTGCTAGAGCATGTATCGCCAATTAGAAGTATTTAGTTTGAGCGCTTTGTTTTTATTCTGAGGAAGCGGCTGGCACCGCTTGGTCAAATAATTTCTCCACCTCGAGCATATGAAAGGAATCAAGCTGGCTGGAGAGATTAAATACTTTCATGCTAATTCAGATATGCTTCGATACTTGCTAATTCTCTCCCACTAACGGTGCTGGTTGTGGAATACCTGGGCACACAGTCGCGCTTACATTCTGCTGCAAGGTCTTGGTTTGGAACCAGGGAAACATAACTCGGTGCCTCTCTCTGTTTAAGGCATTCAGAACTCTGCGTCCTGAGTTTTTGCAAGGGCTGTCGCGATTTGGGAAGGAATGATGCCCTGGCAGCATCTGGAAAAGCAGAGGAACCCGTAAAAAGCCCTGCATTTGCAGCAGCCAGAGGCAACAGCAAACCCTCCCAGCAGGGTTGGAAGGAAGGGTCATACAATTTTTAAAAGTATACAGATCCAGAATAGTGAGAACCCTTGTCCTGTGCTGGTGTCCGTGTCCTGGGTCACTCATTGTTTAACACGTTTTGGCAGGTCGCTCCTGCGGGGAGGACCCCAGACACACAAGGGTGTCCCTTAGGCATGTGCTTATCTGTTGGTGACATGATAAGATATAAGATACCGGGCAGTCCGCTTTTAGCATCTCTGCTTTGGGTAGCCAAGAGCATTTGCTGGCCTGCATAGCTATATGTGGTGGCTGGTGTGTTGAGTCACTTTTGCTAAGCAGGAAGGCATGAGTCTGCAGCTGGATGGGTGACCTCATGTGGGAGCGCAGCAGCGGGCTGGACCTGATGGCCTTGCAGACCCCTTCCGACTCTAATTCTGTTCTGTCTGCTGATTCAGGCACTGCAAGCTTATTAATGGGAAATTTCTGGGCACTGAATAGGAGTGCCATAGTGATGAAGAGCATGGGGCTAGGACTCCAGCGATCTGGGTTCAAGTCCCTGCTCAGCCATGGAGCTCACTGAGTTACTTTGGCCAGTCACCGTCTTTCAGCTCAACCTACCTCACAGGGTTGTTGTTGTGAAGCTAAGAGTGAAAGAAGAAGGATGATGTAAGCAACCTTGAGTTCCCTGGAAGGCCAAAAAGGCAGGATATAAATATATTATTTAATTAATAAAGAGATGAATCATTTGAAAATGTTCAAGGCTTTTTAGTGGTTAGGAGGTCACAGTGGTGACTGGAGGCAGAATGCCTTTGAATGCCACTCGCAGGAGGAAACACAGTGTCGGGCTTGTGGGCATCCGATGGCGGTGAGAGAAAGACGCTGGGCTGGATAGGCGTGTGGTCTGATCCAGAAGGACTATTCTCATCTGAAAGCGGGAACCTGAGTGAAGAGGCAGTCCGGTGCCTCCTTCCCTGGGGCAGCCCTGCTGATCTCAGATGGGGTTTACCTGTGTGTGGACATGAGCAAGATTCTGCCCTGGCCCAGTTTCCATTACTGAAAGCGCCCTGAGCTGGTGAGCGTCGTAAACATTGCAGGCTGCATGGAAAAGAAACAACGGCACAGTCGGTTCTTGCAGTGTCCCCTTCTGGGGTCCTGGACGGTGGTTGGACGTGTGTCCCATTTTTCTCTTCCCAGATCTGCCCGAGTGGAATTTCGATGGCTCCAGCACCTTCCAGTCCGAGGGTTCCAACAGCGACATGTACCTTGTGCCGTCCGCCATGTTCCGGGATCCTTTCCGCAAAGACCCCAACAAGCTGGTCCTCTGTGAGGTCTTAAAGTACAACCGCAAGCCGGCAGGTGCGTTCCAGCCCCCTTCCCTTTACCCTCCCACCTACCTGAACAGGCTTGGGAAAGCGGGCAGTGCAGAGAAACCACATGGGGGTAGAAATGCAGAGTAAGTGGCATTGGAAGCTTATGAAGCTCATCTGGTATCCATGCGGCATGTGACGAACCCAAATCATGCCCTGGCCCGGAGATGTGGCCTTCAGCGGTGTTCAAGAGAGAGGAGACCAGCACTGAGTAGCCTTTGATGCAGGGCCTGGATCAGTCCCTCCGTGGCTCTGCCCAAGTCCCTTTCCTCCGATTGTTTGGCTGCTTCACTTCCCATCCCGTGCGCAAATGCTCCTTCTCCACACCATTTGAGAAGATTGAAATGTCTCCCCAGGGCTCTGCTACCAGCAGCAGGAGCTTTTAAGCTGCAAGAGCGGGTAATCTGTGGGGTTGGCGCTTCCCCCTTTGCCTTTGCCTTGGTCCTCTTTGCTTTTGGCTCCGGTTGCCTCTGGTTGCATTTCCCGGGAGCCTGTGGCCCCTGGCTGGAAGACGTTTCCCATGCTTAGATTAAGTCAGGTCTAAGGAAGTTAGCCTCTAACTATTAACCACAGTCACTTCATGACCCCCCCCCCCCACCATGGAAAGCATAACGCACCTGGAACAAAATGTGTGACCATCGCCTTCTCAGAGGCATCTGTCTGGCCACTCTTGCAAACGGAACCCCAAGGTCTAGCAAGATCCTTCTGTTGTTCCTTGGAGATGATGATCAGTTTTTTCAAGCTCTTGTAAGAGTTTTTGCCATAGATTCCCTTGATCAAATCAAGGATTCGTGATTTAGTAATAATGTATGGGCTCCCCCCATTTCTCAAAAGCAAGTGTTTTGCTCCTGATATGCTTACGTATGTAGGGCCAGATCCATTTTCGTACTAGAGGGGAACCAGACTTGTCCCCGGCTTACTTCATTTCTGCTGTCGTTTTTCCTCCAGAGCCCCTCCCAGCTTGGAAGCAGTGGGACTCTGGTGCGGTTTTGCTGTGTGATTAGCACCATGGGCAGTGTTTTCTTTTCCTAGCGGGTGAGATGTGGGAACGTGCTGTGTTGGCCGCTGTCCAGGCAGGCATCCTTTCTTGACACCACACTGTGGATGCACTGGGAGCCCTGGACCACAGAATCGCTTTCTAGAGAGGAAGTGGTTAAATATTAAAGCATCCCGGAAAAAGGTCGAAAGGGCCCTTCATTAGCACGCTTGAGCAAAAGCCAAGACAGGGTAAAGGAGCGGTTCATCTCAGCTTGCAAAAAGCAGCACTGACTGGCAACTTAACACCCATCTGGTGATCCAGTTGACCCTCCTGGGAAGATGCTACCCCTTTCCTGCTCCTCCACACTTTTATCAGATACAGGAAATTTAGCCAAATTAGCCCTGCCCTGAAAGTCCTCAGCCAAGAACATTGAGCTCAACATTTGGGCAAGGAGCAAGAAGTGAAGCAAAATTGCAAAACTTTCCACCACCATCTTTGCCACCCCTGCAGCCAATGTTGCGACAGTGGAAATGCTTGTGTGTTTTTAAAATGTTTGTCTGCGTTTCCTCCAAAAATGGTGCTCAAGCCAACTGACAAAAATAAAATCAAGGCTGGAGGAAATGTAATACACAGCATTGCATAAAACATAACGTGGAAAGAAAGAAACCCCCAGGCCTTCACAGCAGATACTTGTCTGAATAAAGAAGTGTTTGCCTGCCATTGGCAGCAAAGAGGGTACCAGTGCAACCTTCCCTGCAGGGGGTTCCAAACTTCAGGAATAACTCTCAAGGGGGTTCTCTCTTGCACAGAAAATGTGGCTTGTTTTAACCTGTGCATAAGCCACAGTCCTTGGGTTCAGATGACACAACAGGCCAGGGCTGCCGCTAGCATATTCTGCATGGGCGCATGCCTGCACCAGAACCCCGTTTGGTTGTGTGAACCAGCCCATGATGTTCTAGCCAGGGGCTGGTGACCACCAGGAGGAGCTCTCCTTGGCACCGCTGGCAAGCTCCCCTATTTTGCCACCCACATATAAGGCTGCACATAGGATGCATTGTGCTGCAGTGTAGGTAAACTCCCCCCCCCACCATTTGGGGGGGGAGGGGGCATCCTAGCTTACAAGTGGTCCAATGCACAGCATGCATGCTAGGATCCTTGCCATTTGCATTAGCCATCATTTGGTTTGCGTTAATCATCATTCGGTGTTGCTTCATTATGCCCCTGGGTAACGGGAAGGCCCCAGTCCGCATCCAGAGTGCAGAGCAATGGGAACACAAGAAATTATCTTGCCACATCGGAGCAAAAGTTCACACAGTGCAAAATCCGGTTTCCTGTAGCAGCCAGCCACATGCCTTTGGAAGCTCCCCAGCACGATACGCTGCCGGCCAAAGAGCCAGGAAAGCCTTTCACGAGAAACCACCTCCAACCCACGAGGCATTCATTCTTTAAGCTGGGTCAGCTGGCCCTTCATTAGCTGCCCTGGTGATCATGTGCGTCGCTTTATGCACCCTCCAGGCATGCAGCGGACGGAGTGTTCTTCTCCGCCTTCACTGCTGCCTCACCTTCCCAGAGACAGGCAGGATTCCTTTGCGTCTCAGAGCTGCAGTAGCCATGGAGACAGTCCTGTTCCCAAGGTGATGTTTCCAGCCGCCTCTGAACCAGCCTGTTGTTTGGGTTGATGCTGATGCTGCGGGCAGGGTGGCTGCCTGCTTCCTGCCCTGGCATAGCTGGACGTCTCTTGCGCAGCCCTGGGCAAGAAGCGGTCCAGCTGCCACTCTGTCTAGAAATGGAAAATGAGGATGGGTGACCAGCACATACCTTGCCGGGTGACTGTGGGGATGACTTAGAACGAAGCTCTTGAAATAACAGACTAGGAGCAAAGCAGTCAATTCAAGCCCCTTGGTTTTCCAAAAAGCCCTTGCTTAAGCCTTGGACTTTGAGCCTGGCTGCTGTGAATTCTTGCACCAGGTGCAGCTGCATTTCCCCCGTGTCTCCTTTGTCATCCTAGCTTCTCCTGGAAGGGGAAAAGTACAGTGTGTAAGTTCCTTCAGCCAGCAAGTTATGCAGTAAAACACTGGGCAGGTGACTGATTCTGCAGAAGGAATCATTGCGGTCTCACTCTTTCTCTTAGAAACCAATCTGAGGAACAGCTGTCGAAGGATTATGGACATGGTGTCTACCCAGAACCCTTGGTTTGGGATGGAGCAGGAATATACTCTTCTGGGAACAGATGGACACCCATTTGGTTGGCCTTCCAATGGCTTTCCTGGGCCACAAGGTAAGATCCAGAGAAAGGTTCACTTAAGGTCTTGAATGTGTTTCCGCCAGTTGGGATGGGGGCACAGTTTTGCAAGAGTCTGCTTCGTCCATCCAAGGCCCAGGGTTAGGTGGCCGGTATTGCCGATAATGGAAATGTTGGGCAGCAGAACGGGGTGGGAAGAAGGTTTCCAGATGTTTTGGACTTGAGCTGCCTGACTCTTGAGCTCTCAGCCTAGTGGTCAGGGATGCTGGGAACCAAACCCCAAACATCTGGAACTCAGCTTTCTGCCCACCCATGCAGCAACTAAGGGAAACGTTGACCTAACGTAGTGTGAGGAAATTCCCTAACCCGAATAAATGGTAATATCCAGAGAGAGAGAGAGAAAACCATGGCATGGCCCCGCTCGTTCTGGTGAAAACAAGCGCTCTCTGGGTTTGAGAACCTTCCGGACAGCTCTTGCCGTTTGTGCCTCTGCAGGCCCCTATTACTGTGGAGTCGGAGCGGACAAAGCTTACGGCCGAGACATCGTGGAAGCCCATTACCGTGCCTGCCTGTACGCCGGGGTGAACATTGGAGGCACAAACGCAGAAGTTATGCCAGCACAGGTAGATTCTCGAGTGTCCTGCTCAGGTCGGTCTCTGCGCCGCAGAGGCAGGGAGAGGGAAGGGGACGGCTTCTTGGGGAGGGAGCCCCCCGCCCGTGCCAGTCCTGACTGAGCCTGCGTTCTCTTGCAGTGGGAGTTCCAGGTGGGTCCTTGCGAGGGGATTGAGATGGGAGACCACCTGTGGATTGCACGGTTCATCCTGCACAGAGTCTGTGAAGACTTTGGGGTTATCGTCTCTTTTGATCCCAAGCCTATCCCTGGAAACTGGAATGGAGCAGGATGCCATACTAACTTCAGCACAAAGTCGATGCGAGAAGATGGAGGCCTCAAGTAAGTTTTGCTTCCAGTTTGGACTGTTCTCTCTACAGGAGGAGAAGCTTTGAGGTCTGTAATCTTAGAATTGGCTGGAGCGCTTCTGAAGTCCATGGCTGAAAGCTCCCCTCAGTTCAAAACACCCTGCAAACAGAAAAATACTGAGAAAGCTGAGATAGAAAGGTTTCCCATTTCTCCCTCTACTGTGTGTGTGTTGTGTGTATATGTGTGAGTACTTATCTTTTTACCTAGGCAGCGTTCAGGGATGTGATACACAGAGAGCCGTGGTAGCACCTCGTTCTGCTGCTTGCTTTAGATCCCATTCCTCTTTTTGCAAAGAACTCGGACTGTGCAAAAGGTTTTCATGGTAGGCTGTTCTCCTACCTGCGCAAAGACGACCCCTTGTGTAGCCAGACCATACGGTCATTATCAGACGCTCCAAATTGTGCAAATTGGATGCACCCAAATTCAGAATAAAGCATGCAAGCAGAACAAGAGGTTGCCACATCGCAAGCAAAGAGGCACCCTCAAATGAGGTGGATTTTTCCTTTATTGTCCCAAACAGCTTATTCCAACCTGCTGCCCTTTGGACTTCGATTCCCATAAGCCTGAGCCAGCATGGCCAGTGGTCAGAAATGCTGGTTGTCGTAGTCCAACACATTTGCAAGGCTCCAGATGTGGAAAGCTGGTTCAGAGTATGAATACGCCTAAGTCTAGTGCAGAGTTGGAATTTCCTCCTTTGCAGCTTCGTCCTTCAGTAATGGAGATGCGCTCTAGACTGTTTGAAGATGGACTGGAGAAATCCATAAAGCTCTGTAATCCTGGGCACAGAGGTTTATCTTTTCATTTTTTTTCTTTTTAGAAGACTTTGCGTGTGTGTGTTGTGAGAGAGAGAGCGCTGGACTGGGCCCTGGGAGATCCAGGTTCGAGTCCCTGCTCAGCCATGGAGCCTCCTGGGCGACTTAGGGCCAGTCCCAGGCTTTCAGCCCAGCCTACCTCACAGGGTTGTTGTTGTGGGGATAAGATTGTGGGCAGCAGGAGGAGAATTACAGAAGCGGGTTGTTGCTAAGATAAAATTGGGCTGAGGAAGCCACCTTGGGTTCCTTACACGAGGAAAAGGCGGACTATGGATGCAGTGCTGCCGTTGCTGCTGCCCGCCCGCCGTGCTGGGCTCCCGGAGGCAGCCGGGGGCTTTCCTCCAACAGAGCCATGTTTGGCGCAGTGCCTCAGGGGCAATGGGGGCTGTGGAAGCCACTGGGGAAGGGCTGGGGGAAGGAGGAACGAGGGCAGTTTTTAACCTCGCGGAGAACTCAGCAACATTCTGCTGCGGGTGGTTCGTAGCACGGGCCTCGTGGTCCCCCAGGGGGCAGGCCCTGACTCTCGGTGGCCACAGTGCGGGGGGGAGCACCATTTTTTCAGCTCCTAGTGCCTGTGGGGAGGGAAATGAGGCCGGCAGGGGGCCCTGAGCAAAGCACTGCGGAGGGCCCCTGCTTGACGGGCTGCGCATCCCCCCTCTCTTCCGCAGGCACATTGAAGAAGCCATTGAGAAGCTGGGCAAGCGCCACCAGTACCACATCCGTGCCTACGACCCCAAAGGGGGGCTGGACAACGCCAGGCGCCTGACGGGTTTCCACGAGACATCGAACATCCACGAGTTTTCTGCTGGCGTGGCCAACCGGGGGGCCAGTATCCGCATCCCACGGAACGTGGGCCAAGAGAAAAGGGGCTACTTCGAGGACCGCCGGCCATCGGCCAACTGCGACCCGTACGCTGTGACCGAAGCCCTGGTGCGCACCTGCCTGCTCAACGAAACTGGCGACGAGCCCTTTGAGTACAAGAACTGAGGTCCCACCGGCACCTGCTCTTTCCCCTTCCACATTTCCTTTGTTCTAGATGTTAATTCTGAGGGCATGAGATTCTTGCTTGAGCCCCCTCCCCTAAAACTCACCCTCTGTTTCTTCTTGTGGGAGGGGGAAGTCTAGTCTCTTTCAGTGTTTGTTCGCCCTTCGAGGGGCCAGGAAAGGAGCGGTGTGTGTGTGCATTAGACGAAACAAACCTGAGTTAACCACTGTTTTGTGTAACTCATCCGTACATCTCGACAGGACTTCAGGGGCTTCCAGGAACAGACAGCACAGCGGTCAGGGCGTGTTAGCCTTTCCCCCTTCCAAATTTTGTTCCTCTGCGTCTCGGCTGAACTGAATAAGAGATGAGCGAAAGATCTGTCCCGCGGCTCGCGTTCGGAGGGAGGTGTTCCGCTTCCCACCCCAGAAGAGGCTGAACCCGTAGTGCCATCCTGCACAACCTCGATCCACAAGCACACCCCCTCGGGCCAAAAGGGCATCTGAATAGCCTCTCATGACGCAGGAAGCACCACTGCATACACACAAGCCCTTTTGCCAGTGCTAGGACCTGGGGCCGTCTTACACTTTACGGACACCTTCCTTGACCCAAAAAGAAAATTATTCAAGGTTTTATCGAAAGGCTGGCAAATACTTTGACCTGTTTCTGGAAGCTGCCTGATTTTCTGATCCTAACACAGAGTGAACTAGTTTTTTTTTAATATATATATTTTTAAATGTCTAAAAACACACGAAGTTTTTGTTTTGTTCAAAAGGTCCATTAAATCAGCTGATTGTCGGGGCAGGGCGAGATGGCTGAAGGTTGTCTTCCTTGGTTGTTAAGATGCTCGCATGGAAGGGGGAGTCGGGAGAAGGAAAGATCGTCGAGGAGAGAGATTAGCAGTGGGTTTTTATGTTCAAGAGCAGCTTTGATGGTTTATTATAGACAAGGGGCAATTCGTTTACAAGCTTGTAAGTTAAAATAGGTATTAATTTTTAATTTAAACTGAAGCCACTGGGCTGACTGGGCAGGACCGTGTACGGCCGGTTGCAGAAACGAAGATGCGTCTGTGCTTCGAATACAGAGTTGGCTGGTCAACTTTAACCACGGTATTGACAAGCATCTGGCAGGGAATGGGGGGGTGGGTGGTGGTAAAGAGCAAGTTAAAATATCCAGTAGGATTTGCATGTCCACTAAAGCGGGGCTTTTGATAAAGGAAAAAGAATGGGGGGATGGGTTTTTAGAGATTTTCAATAACATGTTTTTAGGGTTTTCTAAAGTTGTACAGTTTTACAGAGACCACCACTGTTCCTGTAGGTTGTGTCCTGGCGCACAAAACTGACTGCCACTCGGCCAGGACTCACTCATACGCATAGCTGCCCTCAGAGGTGATGCTAGCGGGTTCAGACGTTTCGGGATTTTGTACCATGGTATCTTGAATGGTGCCAATCAGGTTCCGCTGCATTTGGACTTGAGAATAGTTTTTTTTAATAAAAGCATCAAATCCGGTTACACGTTCGCTGCCTGTGTCCTCTGTTGGCCCATTTGTTGAGTTCTTTTCTGGGTTAACCTGGCAGGAATCCTAGGGACATGCCTGGGAATTTGGGTGTCAGCCATGCGGATCAGGGATGATGGGAGCTGGAGTCCGACACATCGGAGGGCACTGGGTTGGGAAGAGAGGTCACACAACCAGAACAACAAAGAGCTGTTATCCTAAACATGATCTCAAGTTTACATCATGGCCCCGTGATCCCTGCTAGGACTTCCCCTAACACTTTTTGCCCACGCTTGACTTTGCCGAAAACATTCATTAAGGGACAAAAGCCATTTCAGCTTGCTTTGAAGTATATCGCAGTCCCCCTTCTTATCACAGCACCTGTGCAGTTAACTCCAAGAGCTGAAGTAGCTTTCTTCCCATGGTAGGTTTCCATGCTCTTGCCCATCTTACAGTTGCGGATGTCTCTCTCAAAACTCAGGCTGCAGGCTTAAACTGCATCTTCCTGGGTGGTTCAGTTGCAAAGTCATGCCCGACCCATCGCGACCCCATGGACAACATTCCTCCAGACTCTCCTGTCCTCCACCATCCCCCAGAGTCCACCAAGCCCACATCCACTGCCCCAGTGACCCCATCCAGCCCCCTCATCCTCTGTCGTCCCCTTCTCCTTTTCCGGTTGAATGTTCCCAGGATCAGGGTCTTCTCCAGGGAGTCCTTCCTTCTCATTAGCTGGCCAAAGTATTTGAGTTTCATCTTCAGCATCTGGCCTTCTAAAGGGCAGTCAGGGTTGATCTCCTCAAGGACTGACCGGTTTCATCTCCCACTCAACTGGGACTCACGCTGGAGTAGATACGCACGGGGTTGCACTGTTGGCCTTAAAATGCAGCCTTGGCCGGGCCGGTGCGAAAGGAGTGATGCTCCTTGGCAGCCTCCAAAGCGCTTCCATCTTGCAGTGGGCTGCTAAAGAACACTGGCCCTCTGAGCAAGCGCTGCCATGGAGCAGGGGTTTCCCTGTCTGGTCAGTGCGTGTCCACTGCAGAGGTCCAGTGCAGAAGGGCTGAGCTGCTGGCATCTCCTGGAAGAGGCCACCATAGGACATGTGCCTCAAACCTTCCCCTTGTCGGGAAATCAGCCCAACCAGGTAGGACTGCAGCAGGACTCGGGTAACAAGAGGAAAGGGCCAAAACTCTCAGGAGTACTTCTGGAATGTACTAGGATGTCACCTTACAGATGAAGCAAGCTCGCTAACTAGAAGGAGCATGCTGTATTTGAGAGCCTCGCGTTTTTTCTGGGCTTTTGCTCCAGGCAAACACCCTTCGGGTTGAGTAGTTTTGCAAATCGTACCAGGACTGGGTCCGTGCCTGGGAGACGAGAGAAGATAATGCAACCACCTTTTTAGCAGAAGGAAGGCGTCGCATACCAGGAAGTCTCTTGCTGCATAATCACCAAAAGCAAATGGAACTTGAAGAATACCATGAAAGACTTTTCCAACCCCAGACTGCTGCCAATGCAACCCACTCATGAGGCTTCGGCACCCCATCCCTTCACTTCCCAACCTTCTTCTGCTCCATCACTCACTTCCGCACCTGTCCCGCTGTTCTTCCATCCCCCCACCCCATTCGTTCAGGCCACTAAGTCCCATTACTCCTGGTCCCAGGACATCTGGTTTTGTGTGTAATGGGGGCACCCCATTCTGGAACTCCCAAGAAGAGTCCGGGGAGTCCTTATGCTGCAAGGCAGAAGAACACACTTCCGTGCATCTTATTCGCACAGCAAGGCACACTGCCTTGGCTTCGAGTGGCACACGGCAAAAGCCCTCCTCTGACTCTGCTGTCCCCGCTGCCTTCTGCTGCAGGACCAGCTCTTGGGGCGGCCAGGCTGAGCACCGCCAGGCCACGGGGCAGGCTGAGCGCTCGCACCCTCGGGGCGCTTTTCCGCACGCAGTGCTCCAGGTCAGATTCCGCCTGAGGGGCCTGTCCGTGCACACGTCCCCCCTCCGCTGGGAAAGCGCTGAGGGGGTGCACAGGGTGGCCTGCAGAGTCCCGCGTGGCTCGCCCAAAGCGGTTTCAGAAGTCAAGGGCCTCGAGTGGGACGCCGAGTCTCCCAACTGGAGCTGCTTCTCTGCGGCTTGTAGCCAGCTTCTCCCTCTCAACAGCCATTGGGCCCTCTAGCAACACGCCCAAAAGCCGTCCCCAACAGCCAAAACAGAGGCCCCTGTGGAATCGCATCCAACGGTCTGAGAAGCAGTGGACTGAGTAAGCCCAGTCTTCCTCTGCGCACGGTCCGAGAGCCAATCTTGCATCGCTTTCCGGTAGCCACAGCAAAATGATCTTCCGTGGAAAGGAACAAGAAAGAGCAGCAGAAGCAGAATCCATCGGTCTGCCTGACCGAAGATGAAACTTCAGGCTCTTACTTCAGGAGGTGGAAGTTCAGCTCATGCAAGGGATGGAGTCTGACATTCTGAACAGCCTCTTGCAGAGTTCCGCAGTCAGCATTTCCCACCCCGTGCAATATAAGCAGAGGCCTCGTATACAGGCGTGCTTATCTTTTGAAGTAGAGTTTCAATGGGTCAAAGGCTCCTAAGGAAGCAATTGTACTGCGCAAAGGGGGGGGGGGTCACCCAATGCAGAGCAGCCCCCATAACCAAACCTGCCAAACTGGAGGGAAAGGTGGGGGAGCATTTTGCCCGGTAGTTTTCCCTATCCAGCATTTTAGGGCATTTTCTCCACTCTTTCAAGCTCCCTCTAACATAGTCTAATTGGAAGGAGACAACCCAAATTTGGAGCTGCCAAATTTGCTGCCAGATCAGGGGCACAGGGGAAGAGGAAGACCTTCAATCCAGCAGATTCAAGCTTTTCCCTGTAGGTAATCCAACAGCCCCCTCCCCCCCGCCAAATCCCCCCTTTTGCCTCTACTGCAGAAAAAGTTCTGCCACCGGGGAGGCTGGGGGTTCCTGGAACCAAATCTCCCCTTCTGAGGCAGCCACCCTCTCTGCCTTCAGGGAGGGAAGTTTGGTGGGCTCCCCTACGCGGGAGACATTCAGAAAGAACTGGGCGGCCCTCCAAGTGGGGTGGTGTGACTGGTGTCCTGCAACAGCAGGGGTTGGACTGATGACCTTCATGGCCCCTTCCAACTCTACTCTTCTGTGATTCTATGATTCTATTCCCTGGAAGCAAAAATGACAAAACAGAAGCTGTCGTAGTCTGGACACATCACGAGAAGGCAGGTCTCCCTGGAGAAGACCATCGTGCCAGGGAAATCACAAGGCAGAAGGAAAAGACCAAATAAGAGGTGGAGAGACTCCATCAAGCCCTTGAGTTTCCAAGAGCCGAGAAGGGCTGTCAAGGACAAGATATTTTGGAGGGCAAAATGTCCCTTACACAGGGTCGCTGTAAGTCAGAGACAACTTGATGGCACGCAGCAACAACAACCCCAGGGGCATCCTCCCTCAAGCTGTAATTTAGGGAAATAATAAATGGACGCAAACCAGATGTCAGAAATGGTGGTGCTTCCGCTGCATGGGCAACACTGCAGCCTCTCAGAACTTAAACAGAACTTAAAGCAGCCATTACAGAGTAAAGGAACGTCAGAAGGGGATGAGAGCAAGGACCGGCAGAACTGGAATTCATCACGGGCTTTAATGCCAGATGCCTGAACTGAGAGAGCAGATTTTTATCATACTAATTGGCTTACCTAGCAGCAAGATATGGGTTATCAGCAACAGCTACCTTGTAAATGACCACTTAATCTTGTAATGTCAGTACTTTCTGAAATGATTCTCCCTCTGATTTTCCTGGGTGTTTACACATCCGCAAGGCACATGTCCACAGTTCTACATAATACTCTTCACATCTGATAAAGTGAATTATACTTTGCAAAAGCTTATGCCAGAATAATAGTGTTAGTCTCTAAGGTGCCACAAGGCTCTTTTTTGTTTTAGACTAACTATATGTCTTTAAATCATTTATTAATTGGTCAACTAAATATAAAGTTTGAAAGTTAGCAAAATCTCCATTGGTCTCATTCTGAAATAACTTGCTTTTGATTGTTGTTGTTTTTTAAAGCTGTGTCCTATGCAAAGCAAAGGACGTCTTTCAAAATAACTACAAAATATATTTGCAGTGCCACTAGCCAACCAATCTGGTGTAGGGGTTAAGAGCACGGGACTGGGACTCAGAGGATCCGGGTTCGAGTCCCCGCTCAGCGATGGTGCCAACTGGGTGACTTTGGGCCAGTCATAGACTCTCAGCCCGTCTACCTCACAGGGCTGTTGTTGCACGGATAAGACTGAGGGCGGCAGGAGGAGATTTATATAAGTTGCATTGAGTTTGTTGTGAGAAAAATGTGTGATATGAATTAAATAATAAATGAATAATAACCAAATAAAGCAGAGGTTGGCAATATGTAACATGTATGCCACACCACCAAATTTGGCTGCAGCCAAAACCAAAAAAACCAGTCCCAAATTAGCCATTTTAATGCAAGCTGATGGTTTCAGAAGTCTACAGTTTCCTGCCAAAACAACCATTTTCCCATTAGTTCCCCATGGATTCTGCAGTGCTCTCCAGAGTCTAACCTAGGGGCAAGAAAATGGTCCACAGACCACACAAAATTGCACACTCTTGAACAAAATCTTTAATTTTGACCAGGATGTCTCCAATTGTATTTTATTGTATTAATTATATTTATTTATTTGTAAGCCGTCCCGAGGCTTAGGCGAAGGGGGCGGCATATAAGTCTGCTAAATAAATAAACGACTGATTGATTTATCTACTGGGCAAGGCTTGCAGCCTTTAAAAAACTCGTGTCTCCAGACCCTTCAGAAAAGGAAGCCAACTTGGATGCAGCAAAATTAAAGTCACCTAATGAAAACATCAAGTCCAGTTAAGCAACCCATCTGAATGACAACGCATAGCTAGTTAAACAGTCTAATCTGGATGTAGCTTCATTTGTCAATTCAGACAAAGCTGCTTTAAAACCTGAATTCTGATAATGGAGCTTCACAACTGACTCTTCA